AGCTCTTATATCTTCTGAGATCGACGCATTCATACATACGGACGGACGGACGGACAGGTCCAAATCGACTCAGCTCGTCCTGATCAAATATATATATACAAGTATATATATATATTTATATATATACCTGAGTATTTTTAATGTGTTCAGGATATAAAAAAATTTGTAGAACGTTTAAGAAATAAAAAATCAATAAATAAAAAAAATAATTATAATTTTTTAGTTATGCAATAAATAGCTTAATATAATAAATAAAATTATGTTAATTTTTTTCAAAGTGTGTGCTCTGGAAATATTGTCAGTCAGTTTGAAGAGTTACACTTTGCAAACCAAATTGCGTATCGACATGCTTCTCGTTTCGTCCATTTTGATATGGAGTCGAATTATTATACATTTCTCCTAAGCTAACTGGAAAAAGATTCACACGAAAACGCCTACACATATACTTATATTTTAACATATGTATATAATTTCATACAACACTTAGATAAAATCATATATGTATGATATATTTTTTTTCGTTAATCAGAAGAGATTATTGCAAATGCATTTCTTGCGCAGGGAAATACAAATTATTAGCCATGTAATACATACATATGTTTACAGAATGTTTTCGTTCACTTCATAAATTTACGGTGTAAATTAATAATACATACATGATCTCTAGATTTTTATTCCATATACATATATATTTTTTTCCAAGTCAATCACAAACTGTATCAAATATTTAAATCGTTAAATTTTTAAGAATAAATGACTTAAAAAGAATATTTTCATAATAAAAAACCGTAACTTACATACAAATGACGACTGTTCAAACTAATGTGGAGTCAGGATTCAAGTTGAATTTAAATATTTTAAATTGTATATATTTTTTTAATTGAGCAATGGTTAATTGGTAAATGTTACAATTTGTGTGGAGTTGGAGCAGTTCAGCACTATAAAATAAGTTACATAATTATTTTCATATTAAAATGTTAAATTATAGACACTATTTTATATTGAGAAAAGGGTAATTTGTGTAATGGTCTGTATACTATACATTTTATTCCCATTTAACTGAATACTGAAGAAATATAATTTACATTTTCAAAAGTGGACTAATATCGAAAATATTGCTACGAAATATAGGTTATTGAAACGCCATGATGAAAATGTGGCTTTGCTTTTTTGTTAAAATGAATGAATTTTATTATTTCGTTTACATCCCCTCCTCCAGTTATTCTTCTCCTCCTCAACTCTTGCTTCTGCTCCACTGCACATATCATGCAACTACTGAGATTGTTTCGGAGTCTGGGCACGTCTAGCGAATGGCTGTGCTTCAAACGCATGGTTGGCCACATGGTAACAACTTGATTTTGTGGAGGCACTAAAATAATTAGGCGTTAAATATGCTCTAGTTATTAATTGCCAACAGCTGTAAAGATAGAAGCTCTCTCTGCATGCCCCTCACAATATGCCACACTTCTTGAGTACAATTTTTCGCTTTCGTGCCGCACTCGAGCCGCTGCTCTTTTTGGCAGGACGAAGGACAATAGTTCCACTATTTGACTTAGTGAAGGTCGGGCTAAATGCGCTGATAGTCGGCGCATTATTGTAGGGTGGATGCGTTGACGCGTGCTCAGTGCTGTTGTTACCGCCAGATACTTGGTCGTAGGTCTGCGTCATTAGCTGGTGGCACTTTGTGGCCAGGTAGCGGAACACAGAGGCTACATTAATGTCCTCCTTGACGGAAGTGCGTATCAGTCGACAGTTGAGCATTTTGGCCAGCGTTTCAACTTCATCTGCACTCACCACTGCCTGCTCGATCAGATCGATTTTATTCTGGACAATCACTGTTGGAATTTCATTGCATTCGTTTTCCACTTTACGTTTCCATTCCTTGATTGCATCGAATGAGGCGCGGTCTGTCGTTGAAAACACCAGTACTGAGGCTTGTGCACCTCGGTAATAAGCCTTGGTTATGCAATCGAACTCCTCTTGCCCAGCTGTGTCCCATAGCATGATGCGCACGTCCTCGCCATCTATCTCGATCTGACGCTCTAGGAAATCAACACCAATCGTCTTCTTATAGTCCTTCGTGAAGATGCCTTTGCAGTAGCGCTGGATCATTGAAGATTTACCTACGCCTCCATTGCCAACGATTACCTGCAAAAAAAGTGTGTTTTTCGGGTTTTTAAGAAGTTTATTACAAAGTAAAAAAGTTAATTGACATATATTTAGATATACACTCATGATAAAAAATAATATGTACATCAAAATTATTTTGGGGATTCTGTCATAGCTAATAAAATTTTGGTATTTTGTTTGAATGAGGCACGCAGGATTGCTAAAAACCTTATAAGGAGTGGCAAATCTTTGCGGGAAATCGCAAATTAATTTTGTGCAAAATGCTTTAAAGGTGCAAAATAAACAAGTAAGAACGTTGCAGTCGGGCGCTACCGACTGCGGAATACTCA